GCTGCTGCTGCTGGTTCTGTGCGTGCAGGTGAGCGGGGCGCGCGGCGGCGACGGGCGCGGACGGGGCGCACCGGGCCGGGTCGCTCCTCCGGGCTAGGCGGCGCAGCAGCGGCCGCGGTCCGGAGCCCTAGGGAGGGCGCGAGGGTGGGGGCGGGGCGGAGGCTCGGCGACCCCGGCCCGCGCCTCCCGGCACTCTGCGCTGCCTTATTTTTAGGCGACGCGGCCCATGGGCTATTTCGAGCTGCAGCTGAGCGCGCTGCGGAACGTGAACGGGGAGCTGCTGAGCGGCGCCTGCTGTGACGGCGACGGCCGGACGACGCGCGCGGGGGGCTGCGGCCGCGACGAGTGCGACACGTACGTGCGCGTATGCCTTAAGGAGTACCAGGCCAAGGTGACGCCCACGGGGCCCTGCAGCTACGGCTACGGCGCCACGCCCGTGCTGGGTGGCAACTCCTTCTACCTGCCGCCGGCGGGCGCTGCGGGGGACCGAGCGCGCGCGCGGTCTCGGACCGGCGGCCACCAGGACCCGGGCCTCGTCGTCATTCCCTTTCAGTTCGCCTGGCCGGTACGTGCGCCCCTCCCCCGCACTCAGCTTCCCTGCGCGCCTCGGCGCCCGCCGCGGTCCCTTCAGCACCTGCGGCCGCGCGGGTGCGGGCCGCGCGCGCCCAGACGGGGCGGGGCCGGCAGGGGGCGCCGCGCCGCGGGCGGGCCTGGGGCGCGTGCTCTTGCGACCAGGTTCGCGCCTGGCCACGTGGGCGCGCGGGGTTCCCGGGGACCGATAGGCTTGGGGTCGCGGCGGGGCGGGGTGGCCAAGGTCCGCGTGCACGGCGGCCCTCGGAGTGTGCCTACGTCGCCCTGCGCGTGTCAGTGCGTGGGGAGGTGCGAGGCGCCTGCGGCCCGGCAGGCTGTGCAGGCATGTGCGCTGCGCGTGCTGGGGCTGGTCCGGGGCAGGCCCTGGCGGAGCCGTCCGGGCCGGCGGCCAGCCTGCTCCTGCCCTGCAGTTTCCTGGACGCCCGGGGGCACGGACAGGCGCCTGGGACCTGCGCAGGGATGGCCTGATTGTGTGTGTTGGCAGAAGCTGCTACAGATGGAGAGACCCCCCCTCCGAAAGGGAAGAGACACAAACTAGGCTCCCAGTTGTAACCCCTCTGTGGCACCGCTGTTTGCGGATGTTTTAGTTTGCTTGTTAGTTTCTGGAATTGAGAAGCATCCTGTCTGTTTAGGGGTGGTCAGGTCAGGCAGGAACCCAAGCCTGGGCATGCTAGGAAGAAGGGTGGTGGGGAATCTAGCTTTGCTGGAGACGGGTCCCATGCCTGTGGTGGAAAGGCCTGGGAGCAGGGAGTCTTAGGCGCTTGCTTTTATTCTCTTTCTGGATCTGGCTCGTACCCTTACCTGATTGTCTGCAGGTGTGAAATTAGGTAGGCGCAGAGGTGAATATGGACATAGCCTTGAGAACCAGGTTAAAACAGCTGGTAAGGGTGGGTCTGGAGGCCTGGGACTGGGAGTAGTAGAGTCGGGTATCAGGCAATACCCAAGAGCTTTCCCGACTGAGGATTTGCAGTTGGTCCAGCTACCAAGAGCCATGGGAGTGGGTCTACCTGGTGCCTTGGTCCTGAAGGAGACTTTCAGTTGGGGGCCAGGCATGGATGGGTAGTGTTTGCCCTGCTCTGCTCCTGCTCTGTGCCCTGGACAACTATTTCTTCCAAGGCCACCCAGCCTGTGCCTCCATCTTTACCTTTCCCTACGCTCCAGCCCCAAATGTACCTTTACCTTACCTAGCCAGGTATCCTTGACCTTGGGGGCTGGCGATAGGAAGTTTATCTCCCCCGAGATGGAAAAAGGCAGGGGCAGGCATGGGAGGGGCCTTAGTGGCCCTGCCCTCCCTCACCCCCACAGCAGCACAGCAGGCAGGTCTGAGCAGGGCCCACAGCCTGTCATCTGCACTTGGGCCCAAGCCAGCGTGGCTCTAAATCGCTACCTGAGGATGTGTTTTCTGCTCGAGTTGGCAACACTGGGTGTGGGGGCAGGGAGGGCCTGGAGGAATGTGGCGGGCCAACGCGTGTCCCTTGTGGCTCTTTGCCCCGCTGGCCAGCCGGTTGGTGTGGAACGGGATGGGACAGGCCCTAGCCTTCCTTCGTGTCTTGGTACTTGGTCTTGGGGACGTTTTAACTTTCTGTTCCCAGCTGCTTTCCTCAGACGCCTCAAGGGGTAGGCAAGTTACTAGCCTGGATGAAAGTTTGGAGGTTAAAGGGTATCTCGTGTTTGGGAGGGGGCAGTTCTGGTTCCCCTTCTCCCATCTTGCTGCATAACCTGGCTGCCAGGCATGGAACTGGTGTTGTGATGCCAGTACCTTGGTATTTCCGCTCTTTGGCAACAGCCCTGCGGCCATGCTGCTTGATTTACCACAGGTTCATCTCTGTCCCGTAAGCCAGGGTACATTTGGAATCCAGGTGCCCACTGGAGCATTTGGTTCCTGGGGACAGCGAGAACCAGCTGAGACTTGGGTTCCTTGGGTTGGTGGGGGGCCCTTGTGGAAAGATGGGGTGGTGTGGGAGGTGGAGGAGAGCGTGCACAGGCTTCTCACAGCTCCTCCTGTGCCTGCACTGAGGTAGCTGTGGCTTCAAATCTGCCTCTCAGAACCTCTCTGAGTGGACTCATCAATGTGGAAAGCTGCAGCAAACCCCCATCAGGTTGGGCGTGTTGCTGACGGCCTCAGGAGACGTGTGCTTTCCCTGGAGTGGCTCTGGTGCCTGCCTATACCTAGCAGCGGGGAGGCCATGTTCACCACGCATGCTTGAGCTCTGTGGGCTGAGCGGGTGGTTGATAGAGAAGGTCTGAGATGAGCTGGAGCTTTCCTTTGGGGTCTGGTGGATGGCATATTCAGGAGGTCCTCATTGGCTAAATGATGATCAAAATGGTTGCTGGCCTGTCTAGAGGAGATAGCGCTGTGCTTGGGAAAGGCTGCTAAAAGAAAAGAGGTCTCTACTACAGGCCTTCTGCCTGACCAGCTTGCCTTTTGAGCCTAGGGTGCAGCCCTGTTCCAGTCTCCTCCCTTGGTGGCAGACCAGTGATGTCTCCACCGTCAGAGCTGGAAGACTTGCGACATGGTAGAGCGTGGGCTCTCCAGGGTGCTTCTGGGGTCATGAGTGAGAGAGAGGTGGGCCTGAGGCAGACCTGGTTTCTGAGGCTCGAAGAACTGATGGCGACAGTTCTGTAAACTGGTTCCCCGCTTCTGAGATGGCTGCAATGCCTTTTTCACTGGGACTCCTGAAGCTAGCTGAGGCTGTAGGATGCCCAGCATGTCCAATAATGAAGTCCCTGATATAGCTTTGTCCTGCATAAGTCCTTCCTCTCCCCCTACCGGCTGTCCAGCACACAGCCAAACATATACTTGAAGAGGGAGGTCAGGGAGGACTGTCCCGGTGGGATAGACAGCTGAAGGTTGTTGTAAGTAGTCACAGAAGAGGGTTGGGACGGATCTGGGAGCACGGACAGAGGAAAGGGCCTGACCCTATCTGACATGGGAAGGCTATTCTAGAATGTGTGCCTTGCATGTACGCCAAAGGACCACACTGCCTTCCGTGCCTTTGGGATGAGATGGGCACTGGCCTCTCCATCATAACCCACACTAAGGCATCCTTAAAGGACCAAGAGTCCTTGGTGGTTGGAGCTTGGGCCAGGTGGTATGTTGATCTGTACCTGACCCTCTCCCTCATAGGTTAGTGTCTTGATCAAGGCCACATAGTATTCAGTATAGTAGAACTCTCCACAGCCAGCAACATGGGGACCCCATGAGGCAGAAAGTGCTAACCTGGGCAATGGAGGATTCAGACAGGGAAATGGATGGGGCCTTTGTCCCTAGGACCACAGGAGTGAATAAATGGAAAACAGAGCTGTCGTGTGATGGGGAAGATGAGTGGATGGCTGTACGTGTGGGTTGGCAGGAAAGGTACTGTCATGGTGGCTGGACAGAATGGGAAATGAGCTGGGCCACTGAGAGATCCCGGGGATCCAGGCAAAGGCCTGAACTCGTAGTCCCTGTCCATACACCCCATCCCGAGCCGGATGTCACATATCCATCCTGATCCTGGGCTAGCTGCAGTAGCCCGTGAGGGATGTTAGGGGCCACACTGACTGCTTTCCTTTTCACAGTGGGAGCCTGGGTTTTACAGCAGTGCGGGCAGCGCACCTAGGCTAGGCCCTGGATGGTCTCTGATGGTCTCTGATGTGGGGGTGTATCTGTCCAAGCTCGGGCAAGGGTTGGCCTACTGTCTCTTCCTGTGGTCCAGAGACCTGGAGCCTAAGAGGGTTATCCCTTGGGTGACAATGGTGACTGAGGCCTAGGCCTCTCCAAAGCTCTGGTTTCAGGAAATGTGTCTGTGCTTAGCGCTCTGGACACTGGCAGCAAGTGTTGAGCTGTCAGTGGCCAAGATAGGCAGCTCGAGTACCTGAGGCTCAGCTGCTGAGTACCGTGGCTACGGGGCCAGGGGACACACCTGGTCCTCCGTCTGCCTTTCCTGTGTTTCTCTGCTGTCCTTTTAGCTCTGTCTAAGCACTAGGTGAAGGGATTACAGTTAGACTTGGAGTTTGACCAGACGATGATGGACTTGGCTGGGGTGTGTGTCTGGGGCCAGGCTTTGGGAAGAGGCTGTCAGGCAGGTGGCCCAGGAGGACTGCCCTAGGAGGAGGGGCCAGGATTTTTTCTATGCTTCTGGGGAACCTGGGCAGGTGATAGCTCTCTGTCTCTTCCATCGTCCTCCAGCTTTCCCACCATACACACTCTAAGAGCCCCGAGATCCTAGAGGATTCCAGCCCAGCTTTTGTCCCTCTGTCAACTGTAGGATTTGGCTTCCCAGGCAGGGATGCACACAGCCATTTGTAGTGAGGGATATGGTTCTGGAAGCTGAGGGAAGGGAGGAGCTGGGGGGCCACTGAGGCAGGTGGGGAGAAGCCACAGGTGCCGCCTGCCTGCTGGCTCAGGTTCTCCCTGGATGACCTCCTGCCATCCAGGTGTAGGGAGCCCAGCTGGCGGGCGACAGGCCCTCTCGGGCGGCGGGCGGGCCATGTCCCTGCGGGAGCAGGTAACCGGAGCCCTGGGCTAGGGCTGAGGTGGTGGTAACCCTACCTGTGTGGCTGGCGTGGGTTTCCTGGGAGTGTTCCTGGATCATCCGAAGCGCAGGTGTGTGCAGGGAATCTTACGCCTGCCCTGTGGCTACTGCCTCTGTACCTAGCTGGTGGGCTTGGCAGGTAGCAATGCTGGCAGTGGTCTCAGGTCCAGCCTGGCCTTGTTCTCTGATAGCCCGTCAGCTTCTTGCTCCTATGCAGCAGCAGAGCCAGTGTAAAACCTGATGGCCTCAGATCTTACTGGCCACTTGTTTTGATGAGAACCAGTGATGAGTCCACGGTGGGGTCTCTCGTGCCCTGTGCTGTGGTCCTCTCTGTGCTGCATTCCTCCATCTCTTGGCCCTGCTTGGCCTCCTTTCTGGCTCCTCCTCCTCATCTTCCTCCTCTTCTTCCTCTTCTACCTCCTTTTCCTCCCTCTCTTCCTCCTCCTCTTCTTCCTCTTCCTCCTCCTTCTTTCTCCTCCTCCTCCCCCTCTTCTTCCTCTTCTTCCTCCTTCTCTTCCCTCTTTTCTTCTTCCTCCTCCCTCTCTTCCTCTTCCCCCTCTTCTTTTTTCTACTCCCCTCTTCCCCCTCTTCTTCTTCTTTCTTCCTTTTTCCTCCTTCTCCCCCTCTTCTTCCTCCTCTTCCTTCTCCTCTTCCTCCTCCTCTTCCTTTCTTCTCTTCCTCTTCCCTCTCTTCCTCCTCTTCTTCCTTCTCCTCCTTCTTCTTCCTCTTCTCTTCTTCCTCTATCTCCTTCTCCTCCTCCTCTTTCTCCTCTTTTTCCTCCTCTTCTTTGTAGTGCTTCCTCCCTTGGGCTATAGTCTATTTCTCCTGGGGCTATATGACCTGGGCCTGTCCCTCACTTTCTCTGGCTCCATCTGTTGATACAGGGGCTGAAGGCAGTCTGAACTCATTCTGCACTCTAATGAGTGGGTGGGTAAAGGACTGAAGGGGCAGGGAAGGGAAGGCCTGAGAAGAGACTGAGGACCCCATGGTTAGGGTGGTGTGTAGAGAGCCCCTGATAGGCTCTGCACCCAGGCAGATGAGGGTACACACTGGGGATTTCTTAGGCTTCTGCGAATAGGGCTTGGTGCTCTATGCTTGCTGAGAGACCAGGAAGAAGAGCAGTTAGGGTGGGAACAGAGAGCAGGAGAATGGGGAAGAGGATTTAAGGGGGACTTAGATGGCATTAAGAAACCTGGTAGTGGCTTCATGGAACCAGGGGACCAGTGGCCCTCTGCTTTTGGCTTTGCTCACATGGCATAGCCTGTGTCTGACGACAGGTGCTCAGAGGAGGTACAAGAGTAGGAAGTGAGCGTGTTTATGCTGAGATGCCAACAGATAGGGAAAGGACAGGGTCTCCTAACCCGAGGCCCCGTGAGGCTGGGTATGACAGGCTGGGCCAGGAGTGGGATAAATTCTAGAAAGCCTAAGACTTAGCCCAGGTTAGATGGGGCTCCAGTGAGTCTGGGGGGAGGATTCTGAGGGCTGAGGAATGGCCAGTGACTCTGAGCCATCTAGGAAAACATGAGGTTTCCTCAGCATAGTCAAGCTACAGAGGAAGGGGTGCCTGAGGTTATTGGTGGGCTCAGACCATCCTCTCATGAGGCGGGTCTTATGTTGCCAAGGTAACAGCTCACAGCAGCACTCATCACCATGGCCTGGGGCAGGAGGGACAGATGGTAAGGGCTGGCCATGATTATGGACGGAGGCTGTGCCCAGCACAGCACCTCTTGAGCCTCAGTATCCCCCACCTGTGCAGCGAATGACCTTCCTGACCCCTGTCCTGGGGTGATAGTTATGAGACTGACTGTGTCCTCTCTGCTGTTGTTTCTGTTGGGTAAGCACCTCCATGAGACTGGTGGAGTGACTGCTGAGTAGCCAGGGGACTGCCCTCTCAGGTGGGCTTAAAAAGTATATAGCACCAGGTAGTTTTCAACCTCAGCTCAGACCTCAGTGAGGTGCAGGGATATATTCCCAATGGAAGTGCTCTGCCTGCACCCCTCCCTTCACCCTTTGCTGTCTTCAGGAGCTTGCACAGGGTGGAGCTGAACTGGGCCTTGGGGACCCCAAGAGCAAGGAGCTAAAGCTTCCTGAGAGGTGCAGCTAGGGATGGTCTTTCACTTACGAGTTGAGATACGTGGAGTCTGTAGAGGAGATGGCCCAGCACTGAGGACATGGACGGGGATGGGAGAGCCACGGAGCAGCCTAGAGCCACACAGGCCAGGGGCGTGCACCCTGCCCCCATCCTGAATAGCAGCAGGTGGGAGGGAGCCTCAGGCTCCTGACCTGCTCTCCTCTGTGTCTGCAGCGTTCTTTTACCCTCATCGTGGAGGCCTGGGACTGGGACAATGACACCACTCCAGATGGTGAGTATGCCCTGGACTGGGGGAAGTGGGTGGGTGGAGGGAGGCTCCCAGCAAGAATTTCTGGTCCCCTGGGCCAGAGCGCTTGTGGCCAGGTCCAAGGCCCTCTGTCTGCTGGGGACAATGGCTCATGTGGCTAGAAGGTCTTATTCTGGTGAAAGGAACTCTCTACACCCTTGGCTTCGCAGAGCTGTGCATACTGTTCCTTCACTTCTGTGTGGTATCTTCAGTGCAGCCTTTTGAGGCCCATGTTGGTGACACCATGGAATGGGATACCCTCAAGTGGCTCTCTGGCTTTGTGGCGTTTTCTCTATCTTAGAATATGAAGCTTGAGGGTCACCACTTCAAAGCTGACTGTTCTGTGTGCAGCCTGTGTATGTGGAGGCGGTTATCTCAGGGTTATTTGAGTGGAGAGGCAGAGGTTTTCTGTGGACAAATGGGGAAGCTCCTTGAGCAGAGTACAAAGGCCCAGAGACAGGATCAAAGCTAGCATTTGAGGTTCTGGGTGGAGTTCTTGTGATTGGGGGATGAAGCAATCAGTACGGCTCGGTTCAGGTCCTGGGCCAGGGAGGATGCTGGCCTCTTCCTGGGGATGTATTGCCCTGGCTGCCGTGTGGACAAGAGCTTGGAAGGCCAAAAAGGAGTCCAATAAGGAGGATGCTGCATGCATCAGGACAAAGAGGCTGAAATAGGCAGCGTGATGGGCTAAGGCGTTCTGGCTATTCTCACACGGTAGAGGCACGGGGTCACTGATGGATTAGACCTGAGGTTATGATCAAATGTAACCCTTGAGACCTTCCTTAGCAATGCACAATGGTCAGGATGAAACCCAGGCCCAGAGATGTCGCTAAGAATAGGTGAACAGGGAGAGCAGGGGGCTCAAGGGTAGGGGCCAGCCAAGGTCCGAGGAAGACAATCGGAGGACTTAACAAAAACACAGAGCCCGCTGGGAGAGCTCCACCCAAAGGCACTGAGTGCCCAGCTGGGCCTGTCCTAATGCAACAGGAAGAAAAAGTGGAGCAGGAGGACTCTGTGACCAGCTGCCATAGAAAACCCCAAACAGCAGTGGCAGGTGCTATGCAGCCTGCTCGGGTAGCCTGCTTCAGGGCACTGGGAGGCCCAGCTATGGGACAGTCCAGTCTGGAAGAACAGGAAGGAGAGAATGGTGGCCCATGGCTAGTGTGTGGTGCCCGTGAGTGTGGAAGGAAGCTTAAGGTGTATAGCCCTCCTGACCTCATCTTTGGGAGGGAGGAACAGGAGTGGCAGTTTACAGTACAGGGTCCTGGTGAGAGCTTCTGCCCAGCCTTCTTGTGGGGGCCTGGACTGTGTCCCTTCTGCCCCTGGCTCCTGCAGGGGTGGCAGCCTTCCTCTACCTAGCTGCCCCATTGCCCCTGAAGCTGCCTGGTAGAGCCCGTGTGGCACTCGCTCCTGGGGGACTGCTGGGGAGCCGCTGCCACCGGCTGACTCTTGGCTGCTCCCTAAGAGGAGCTCCTGATTGAGCGAGTGTCGCACGCCGGCATGATCAACCCCGAGGACCGCTGGAAGAGCCTGCACTTCAGCGGCCACGTGGCACACCTGGAGCTGCAGATCCGAGTTCGCTGTGACGAGAACTACTACAGTGCCACCTGCAACAAGTTCTGCCGGCCCCGGAACGACTTCTTCGGCCACTACACCTGCGACCAGTACGGCAACAAGGCCTGCTTGGATGGCTGGATGGGCAAGGAGTGCAAAGAAGGTGAGGGGTCTGTCTCCCAGTGTGGGGATGGGACCGGGCACGGGGCAGCGCTAGCATGGCTGGCTGCAGCTGTGCCTCTCTCTGCCCCTCTGTTCCAGCCGTGTGTAAGCAAGGATGTAATTTGCTCCACGGGGGATGCACTGAGCCTGGGGAGTGCAGGTGAGCACCATGCCTGCCCTTGCCTTCTCTTCACCCGAGCTGCTGTCGAGCCTACAGCGGCTGGGGCACCCTGTGGGCTTTAGTAGGCCATGGAGGTGCCCATGCCAGGTGCCCACCATGCAGGAAGTCAGATGTTATAGAGCCGGACTGGAACCCTGCCCTTACAAAGCGTGTGACCACAAAGTGGGGGCAGTGCTGTCCTGAGCATGTGGCGTGTCCAGTGACAATTTCTCCGTGGGACAACTAGAAAGGGACAAGGGAGGGTGGCCAGGTACTCACATCACCAAGAAGCAGAGGCTAAGGGGAGTGTGTGCGCGCGCGTGCGCGCGAGTGCATTTGTGCACGTGTGTGCGTGCACGCCTGTGCAAGTGTGTGAGTGCATGCACACGTGTGTCTGTGTGCATGCAAGCCCATGTGCATGCGTTTGTGCACGTGTGTGTACGTGCACGTGTGCACAAATGTGTTTGCACATGCAAGTGCGTGTGTGTGTGTGTGTGTGAGCACGTGTGTGGTGTGTGTATGTGGCATGCATGCGTGCATATATGTGTGAACTCTATATAAACGTGAGGGGTCTGTGTCCGGGTAAACACAGTAGGAAGTCACGGTGGCGTGCTAGTGGGAGAGGCTGACATGATTCTGCAGAGAGAGGCTTGGGGGAAGAGGGGCCCTATCAGGAGAGGCTTAGGAGAAGCACACGGCGTGGCACTGAGAAAGAAGGTACATGGGAGACGATGGGCCAGTGGGATGGAGGGTGAGCTGGACCTGCAGACATTCTCAGGAGCAGGGATTTGATGGTGAGTTCCATAGAGGAGTGAGAGGGTGTGGTCAAACAGGACCTGCAAACCTAGCTCGAGCCATTACACGGTGTAGGGTAGAGATGGCTGTGGGAGGGGCAGGCTAGTGTGTGCAGAACGGGGCACACTGGACAGGCCTGGCCTTAAGGCAGCACAGCATGTGGCAGCCAGGTATATTCACAGTCCATGGTCAGGTGGAGAGGAGGGCGTCCTGCAGCCTAGAGCAGTGTAGGAGCCACTGGGTCTCATGAAGCATTATGGAGGTGAGGAGGTCAAGTTAGCGGGGTAGAAGACAGAGGGAGGGGGGCAAAGGTTGGCTCCCTGGGGTATGTGAGTTGGGGAGTCGGCCCAGGTGGTTGGAGGGAGTAGGAAAGGGGTTAGAGATGAGCATCTCAGGCTGGGGGAGGCACAGCAGTAGCCCCTCCAAGCCTCTCCGACATCCTGGTTCTCGCTGTCCCTGGGTGCCCTCTGAGCAATGGGTATGCCTCGTGTGTGTTTTCAGATGAGGACAGCAAGGCACATGTATTGTTTGGTCTGGAGGGGATGGCCAGGGAGTGGGGAATTGAGATGTGTTGGGGGTGGGGGTATGGTGGCATTGGCCTGGGTGGTGATATGCTCAGCAGCTAGGCTGGTCCCTGGCCAGAAAGAGATGGGTGTGCAGTGGAGACGTCCCAGGTGCCACTTGCACACTGTGGTTTCAGACAGGCTTGGCAGGACTCAAGGTAGTGCGAGGAGCACCTGGCTCCGGATGGGCTAGCTTCTTACTCCAGGAGCCACATCCTAGGAGAGAGATGGGGGTAGGATAGGCAGCAGGAATTGTCCATGTGGATAGCTCTCTGCCCGGTGTAGTGTTTCACAGCCTGGCCCTCAGCAGTGTGCTGGAGCTGGGCGTGGCTTCTGGGCAGAGGTGCCCCACTCGTGGTAAACACAGGAGCCTACCCTTAACCCCACACTCACTCCATGTAGGCCAAGGTGAATTGTACGAGCATCCCCCGTGTGGCCAGTGCTGGAGGGAGATGAAAGATGAGTCAACTTCCCCGCAGTGCAGGAAGGCTGTGGGTAGGCACACCGACAGGAACACTGGGGAAGAAAGCAAGGGTAGGGGGCGGTAGGTGAGTGTCACCCGCCTCTCCCTGAGCTAGAGGGTGAGGCCAAATGGCCTCCTGCTGTCCAGAGCTCAGGTTTCAGCAGAGGACACCCCTCCCCAACCGGATGCTACTGCGGAGATGGCTGCGCTTTCCTGCCACCCTCCCCAGGCCCTGGAAAGCTGGCAGGAAAGCCACAAGGTGGGGTCTGGTGTGGGATGGCCCGCCCAGGGTGGAGAACCTGCCCTTGGGACTCACGGGGTCTGGGCTCAAAGCTAGCCTTGGTGTTCCTTGGTGGATGACCTAAGGCTAGCCACAGCCCACTCTCAACTCCCCCCCCCCCCCCGTATCACCTGGAGAGAAGACACCCAAGTAGAGACGGGAGGCCAGACCTGCCTTGGACATTCTGGGCTGGATCCTGGAGCCAGCCTCAGTTTCCCTGTGTGAGCCTGGGTGAGGCGGGCTGATAACTGCCTGTGTGCGTGGCTCCAGGGCAGCTCAGGAAGGGCCGTGGTTTTTCCTTCTATAAAAATAACTCCTGTGGCGGGTGTTAGCGTGGAAGTGACGTGGCCCGCACGTCATTCCTGCCCCACAGGACCTTAGCCTTTAAGGAAGGGGCCCCCAGAGTCTTGTCCAGGGCCCAGAGGGCAGCTTACTGGAGCCCTGTACTCTCTCATCTGCTGGCTCTTGTGCTGGCCACCTACTTTCATCCTGAGGGACTCCCCAGAGGCGACACTAATCCACAGTGTGGTCAGAGTCAGGATTTAAGATTATGGCCTCTGAAGAGATCTTCAGGTCTACGTTTTGGGCTCAGCCCCACTCAATGTGGCCCTCCCACAGGGCTGGCTAGGCAGACCATGGGTTGGACTTTCCTAGGAGTCAGAGAAACCTCTGCCCTTGAGTAGCAATGAGGATATGGGCGGCACCCAAGGTCACAGAGCCCTTGGACCAGGCAGGGTAGCCAGGATCTCTCCTGATGCCTCTTCATCCTTCTCAGATCCCGGTTGCTGCTGTGTCCCCAGCAGCACCTGGTGAGCAGCACCTGGCACTAAACCCCTGGGCCTCCCCCGGCTGGGCCTTCCTTCCAGGCGCCTGCTTGTGGGGCCTGGCTCAGAGCTGAGTCCTAGAATAGCTCAGGGGGGAGTGACGGGACAGCTGGGCAGACCATCTCGGCCAGTGGCCGGGAATGCCCGTGACAGTGAGACTGGCCAGCGAGCCATAACCCCTGCTTAGTTCAGAGCTGTTCTCCAGGGCCAAGACCCAGTAGGGGTGGCCTGCACTTCTGTGCCTGCCTCCTGTACCCCTTACCCATCTTCCCAGTTTATGACCTCGTTGCTCGGTCCTCCAGGTGCAACTACGGCTGGCAGGGCAAGTTCTGTGACGAATGTGTCCCCTACCCCGGCTGCGTGCATGGCAGCTGTGTAGAGCCCTGGCACTGTGACTGTGAGACCAACTGGGGTGGCCTGCTCTGTGACAAAGGTAGATGGTGGGCAGTGGGCAGGGCCAGGCCTCAACTCTGAAGCTGGGCCCATCCCTGAGAGCCCTACCCTTGTTCCCAGACCTGAACTACTGTGGCAGCCACCACCCCTGTGTCAACGGGGGTACCTGCATCAACGCTGAGCCTGACCAATACCTCTGCGCCTGTCCAGATGGCTACTTGGGCAAGAACTGTGAGCGGGGTACGTTGGGATGCTGTCTCTCAGGGAGCCTGGCTGAGCCCATTTTTCACTGCCTTGTACAGTGGGCATGTACCCCGGTGAACTCTGGATCTGGTGGGCTTGGGATGGTGTGCTTGAGTTCCGTGGGCGTCAATCCGCTCGTGCTCTGGTTCTGCAGCTGAGCACGCCTGTGCCTCTAACCCGTGTGCCAATGGGGGCTCTTGCCACGAAGTGCCGTCTGGCTTTGAATGCCACTGTCCGTCGGGATGGAGTGGACCCACCTGTGCACTCGGTGAGTGTCTGGGGGCTTCACAAGGTAGGAGTGGGCAGCACTTAGGGGTGTGGACACAGCAGCTGAATCCACCGCACAGCGGACAGCCAAACGACAGTTGGTTCCTGCTGCTTTACATGGGACTGTGCCTCCCTGCTGTGTCCCTACTCAGTGGCTATGCAGTTACACTCACCACACCCCATGCCCCCGTCCATGGGTCTAAACTAACTAGATGATCCTACATTCACTGGCCAAGGCCTGTACCCGTTGACTTCGACCTCCCATTTGCTGGCCACAACCTTACCCCCCTCTCTCTCCCGCCCCCGGCAGACATTGATGAGTGTGCCTCTAATCCATGTGCAGCGGGTGGCACCTGTGTGGATCAGGTGGACGGCTTCGAGTGCATCTGCCCGGAGCAGTGGGTGGGGGCTACTTGCCAGCTGGGTAAGGGCTCCTTGGGGGGCTGTCTGTGCATGGGTTGTGTGCTGTGCATGCGGCTGTGGCTGCTGCTGCTGCTGGCACTTCTGGGGCTACGGGTGCCAGGTAGAGGGCCCAGTGGGTGAGTGGGGCCCGAGCCCCACAGCTCCCTTGTCTCGTTCACAGACGCCAATGAGTGTGAAGGGAAGCCGTGCCTTAATGCTTTTTCTTGCAAAAACCTGATTGGCGGCTATTACTGTGATTGCCTCCCGGGCTGGAAGGGCAGCAACTGCCACATCAGTCAGTATGGGTGGGCGGCGCAGGTGGGTGGGGCTGGGGAGCACAGAGGGCCCCCTTGACCCCGCCCGTGTACCCTTCTGCCTCTAGACATCAATGATTGCCACGGACAGTGTCAGCATGGGGGCACCTGCAAGGTGAGGAGGCTTCCACACGCCCCGCCAAGTCTGGGATGGTGGAGGGTGGCTGGAGGGGACCGGAGGTGGGGTTGTCTGAGGCTCGCTCACCCACCCACCTGTCCACACACCTAGGACCTGGTAAACGGGTACCAGTGTGTGTGCCCACGGGGCTTTGGAGGCCGTCACTGCGAGCTGGAGTACGACAAGTGTGCCAGCAGCCCCTGCCGTCGGGGTGGCATCTGCGAGGACCTGGTGGATGGCTTCCGCTGCCACTGCCCGAGGGGCCTCTCCGGGCCTCACTGTGAGGTAGTAACCAAGAAGGGCTTTGGTGGGAGCTACGTCACACCATGCTGGGAACGCTGTCTAGGAGGGTCCTCTCAGCATCTCCAAAGCCAGGCTTGCTCATTGTCTCAACAATCTTACATGCTTCGCTCCCTCTATGGGACCACGCAGAGGGGAAGCTTGCAAGAAGACCCCCAAAGGCAGAATCACACATTTGATGGCGTGGGGTCACCATGGATCACTGGTGGGCCAGTGGCTGGGAAGGTGACTTTTCTCAGGGCTGCTACCCTGACCCCTATTGTATGATCCCCCTTGTCCTGAGCTATATATGGTTTTGCTCTGGCCCTGTGGACTTCTTAGTGGCCTGTGGCAGAGGCCTGGCTTTGGGTCCCCGGAGCACAGTGGTGTCGGCTGTAGGAAGGACCTCTCTTGGCTCTGAAGGCAGCCTGGCAACATGGGGGTCAGAAGCTGGCCTTCCTGCCGGCAGGAGGAGCCAAGACCGGATGCTGTCTGTGGGAGGCAGAGGAAGCTTGGCTGCTGTGGAGGCGAGGGCGGCAGGAGGGGGCTGGTGACCCACAGGTGTTTCCGTCCAGCTGATGGTGCTTGGACGTTTTCGGGTGGGCGGAGCTTCAAGCTTAGTTTGGCACTGCCGGGTCCGAGGCAGAGAGGCCTGGCTGTCTATACTAAACAGTGCTTCTGTCTAGAGCTGGACACTCACAAATGTACACCGCCCTTTAAAACCTGCAGGTGGATGCAGATCTCTGTGAACCAAGCCCCTGCCTCAACGGTGCTCGCTGCTACAACCTTGAGGGTGACTACTACTGCGCCTGCCCGGAAGACTTTGGTGGCAAGAACTGCTCGGTGCCCAGGGAGACATGTCCTGGAGGGGCATGTAGAGGTGCGAGATGCAGCCCTTCAGGCAGGGGTGGGTACCTGGGTGGAGATGGGTCCGATCCCTGTCCATCTCTTTCCCACAGTGGTCGATGGCTGCGGGTTCGAGGCAGGGTCCAGGACACATGGTGTTGCGCCCTCTGGCATATGTGGCCCTCACGGGCACTGTGTCAGCCTGCCTGGGGGAAACTTCTCCTGCATCTGTGACAGCGGCTTCACAGGCACCTACTGCCATGAGAGTGAGTGGTGTGCAGAGTTGGTGGGGTGGGGCAAGCCGGGCCAGCCACAGTGACCGCTCACCCAACCCCTCCCGCAGACATCGACGACTGCATGGGCCAGCCCTGCCGCAACGGGGGCACGTGCATTGACGAAGTGGACTCCTTCCGCTGCTTCTGCCCCAGTGGCTGGGAAGGCGAACTCTGTGACATCAGTGAGTCAGCACCCCCACCTTACCTGGACTGCCCCCCTGGCTAAGGCCTGGCTCTACCCCCTGTGTCCTACCCAGCACTGCGTGCATGGGCCTGAAGTCATGGGGTGGAATCCCAGGCTCCCACGTGCTTGGGGCCAGCTCTTGCTCTTCTCCGTGAAGCCCTCCCCAGCGCCGGTGACCCCCGCTGACCGGCGTCCTCCCCCCAGATCCCAACGACTGCCTCCCCGACCCCTGCCACAGCCGCGGTCGCTGCTATGACCTGGTCAATGACTTCTACTGCGCCTGTGATGATGGCTGGAAGGGCAAGACCTGCCACTCACGTAAGTGCCTGGGGTCCCTGCAGACGAGCGGAGGGGCTGCCTGCCGGGACCCCCCTGCTATGATCAGTATGTCCCGCCCGTTGATCGGCCACGTGCTTGCAGGTGAGTTCCAGTGTGACGCCTACACCTGCAGCAACGGTGGCACATGCTATGACAGCGGCGACACCTTCCGCTGCGCGTGCCCTCCAGGCTGGAAGGGCAGTACCTGCACCATCGGTGAGTACCCTACCCAGGCCAGCTGCCTCCCCTAGCCCTAGGCTGCCTGCCCCAGCTGTGTTGGGGTCTACCCAGGCATCACACAAAGTCCTGTCTCCCTCCTTGCAGCCAAGAACAGCAGCTGTGTGCCCAATCCCTGTGTGAATGGAGGCACCTGTGTGGGCAGCGGAGACTCTTTCTCCTGCATCTGCCGGGATGGCTGGGAGGGCCGTACCTGCACACATAGTGAGCTGGAGGGGCTTCAGGTGGGGGAGGCCTGTGGGTTCTGCTTAACTTCTTCACTCGGTTCGCCATCCCCTTCCTCCAGCTTCCTGGAAGACCCGCTCCTTCACCCACCCACCTCACATATCCACACTGAGACCTGTTCTGCCATTTTGTAATTCAGCCCCTACGCCAGATCTGCAGGGTCCTTCCACCTCCCCTGATCCACCACTCTGCAGTCTTGGGCTCCTGCTAAGACACGACTATAGCCCCCACTCCCAGTGACTTCCCTTGGGGTCCTGAGCCTTCCTGGCACTTCTCCACGGGCTGTGCCAGGCTGGTATGAACAGGATAGTATCTACCCATGAGCCTCAGACACAAAGATGTGCTGCAAAGCGTGCTGGGCAAGCGTGTGTTAAAATAACCACCCTGTCTCTCCCCTTAAATCCAGACACCAACGACTGCAACCCTCTGCCCTGGTGAGTGGCGACCCAGGAGGCTGGTGGGGGGCAGGGCCCATCATGGGGGACCCCTTATGGCCACCCTCTCCCTTGCAGCTATAACGGAGGCATCTGTGTTGACGGCATCAACTGGTTCCGCTGCGAGTGTGCGCCCGGCTTTGCGGGTCCCGACTGCCGTATCAGTAAGCAGCCTAGGCGGATAGAAGGGGCTGGGATTGAGGGGATTTGTTTAGGGCCCTCTCCTGACAACTTCGGTGTTAAGAGCTGGGACACATAAACATCCGTATCCTCGTAGATGAGGTGGCCACAGCCCTCTCTTGCCTCCCATTCGCATGTGTGCGTCCGATGGACGCCTAGTTCCTTCCTGAAGAGCCAGTTGCATCTTGGGAAGAGGGAGATATGGGCTACAGGGTGGAATGCTCATACTCCCCCCACCCCGACTGTGAGGATGTCTCTGTGGATGTGACCACCTCAGAGAGAGTGGAGCACAGAGGCCCCTGTGTACATGCAGGGAAAGGGCCTGAGGGTTAGAAGGCTTCAGACTGGCAAAGTGACAACCTAGGTAGCTGTGGGTCAGGTGGCCTGAGGTATAGCCCCACTGCCTTGCTCACACGCTGGTCCCTGTGTGGGGCGCACACCCCTCAGAACACAGCCGTTCTCCTTGCAGACATTGATGAGTGCCAGTCCAACCCCTGTGCCTACGGAGCCACGTGTGTGGACGAGATTAATGGGTACCGCTGCAGCTGCCCACCAGGTCGTTCTGGACCCAGATGCCAGGAAGGTAGGCCGACTGTGACCATGGTCAGGGCGTGGACCAGATCCACCCTCCAGAGTTTGGATACTCCGTTTAAGCCTCCTCCTTCTCACCACAGTGGTCATATTCACGAGACCCTGCTGGTCCCGGGGCATGTCCTTTCCACACGGGAGTTCCTGGGTAGAGGACTGCAATAGCTGCCGCTGCCTGGATGGCCACCGGGATTGCAGCAAGGTGAGGCCAGCCCCTCTGGCACTCTGACCCTGAATCATCTGAGCCTCTAGGCTTACTCAGCTATCGAGGCTGGTACAGGGGTAGTGGTGTAGGTTGATAAGGCTACCCATTTCTGAGGGCTATCCTAGGGTGATGAACTGGGATGGTTCTTGGGCCTGCCTCTCTTCTCTGTCCACTCCCAGGCTCTGCTTAGCTCTTCCTATTTTGACAGAAAGTCCTTTATGGAGTAGAGTTTTGCCTGCCTCCCTAGGGCCCCTGGGTGGTAGAGACACTGGCTTGAAACCTACTGACTGGTTCGTGTCTTATCTCTGTGAGCTGCTTGAGCCTGACCATGCCTCTCATTCCCACGTGTCTCCTGGGCGTGTCTCTTCCAGGTATGGTGTGGACGGAAGCCTTGCCTGCTGTCTGGTCAGCCCAGCACTCTGAGTGCCCAGTGCCCACCAGGGCAGCAATGCCGGGAGAAGGCCATGGGTCAGTGCTTGCAGCCACCCTGTGAGAACTGGGGGGAGTGTACAGCCGAGGAACCTCTAGCACCCAGCACCCCCTGCCTGCCACGGACCACCCATTTGGACAACAACTGTGCTCGCCTCACACTGCACTTCAACCGTGACCAAGTGCCTCAGGTGAGTGATCCCGGGGGACCCGGGATTCCCAAACGTACCCTTAGAATGATAGTCTGTTCGAACCTCAGCTCACATAGGTCCAGAAGCCCATGGTTGTGCAGAGAGATGGCCACCAGTGGGCTCACACGAGAAAGCACTGAGCCTAGGTGTTGTTGGGCAAAAGAGAGAGAGAGGGTTCAGTCTGGGCTGCTAATGTACCCAGAGTTCAGGGGCCTAGACTGCCGGGGTGCTGGGATCCACTCTCCTTTGGATCACCATTTAAAGGATAGTTTCTGTTTCTGATATGTCCCATCCTCATCCTCTGGGTGTTTCGAACTAGCCTGCCTGTTCCCCAGAAGAGAGGATCTTCGAACTCATGATGCTCGTTCACCAGCTCCTACTTCCCCCAAGCTCCTCCCATTGCCTCAGACAGACTGGATCAGGAGTAAGGGAGGCTCCCACTGTTCCTCCTCTGCTCCCAGGATGGAGCCCCCCATTAGCAGAGAGATGAATGGCCTCAGATCATGGCCCTTGGCCCTGCTAACCTGTTGCTTGCCTGCCCAGGGCACCACCGTGGGCGCTATCTGCTCTGGAATCCGAGCCTTGCCCGCCACCAGGGCAGCGGCACGAGACCGCCTCCTCCTGCTGCTCTGTGATCGCGCGTCCTCGGGGGCCAGTGCCGTGGAGGTGGCTGTGGTGAGTGTTGGTGGGGACCTGTCCTGAGCAGGCCTCTAAACCCTCAGTGTCTGTGACAGTCTAGCATCTTGCGAGACAGTGGCAGACTTGAGGATGGGAGGCATTTACGGGGTGGAATGGAGGCCCCTGGGGCAGTGGGAACTGAGATAAGAGCCAGATTTGGCATCCCTCTGGACACCTCCACAGCCGAGTGGTGTTGGGTGGGAAGCTGGGCAGGGTGAGGGCAGACCACCCAGGTCAGGCAGGGTGGGGTTTAGCAGAGGGGAGGGTTGGGCAGGAGATCAAGGTAGCCTTGTGATGTGGTGATGGCGGGGTGCAGTGTTCAGAGAGAGGGGAGAAGAGACGATGGCTTGGGTGAAGGCTGGGTGCCAGTTCAGAGTTGTGGGCTGGTATTATTTGTGTAGCTCTTCAGGCGCAGGTCTGGGAGCTGAGTGAACTGAGAAAGGCCAGCGGTCGTCATACAGGATGCAGGGATTTGATAGGGCCGGGCCACTTCCTAAATCTGTCTGATGGGTGCACCTTTACATCAAGATCCAGCTTCACGGAGCTCCCCATTTCTTGGTCTCCAAGCCCTCTGAGGTCCTTGCCGTGTGTAGCACAGCCCTGATTCAGCTCTACCCATGGCAGCCCTCTGTACATCCGGCTAGGACCAGATTAGTTTTGGGGCAGCAGCTAGATCAGGCTCCTGGGATGTAGGAAGGGTGCCTTTGGGCTGTCCCCCAGTATCATCCTCTGCCACAGTCTTTCAGCCCTGCAAGGGACCTGCCTGACAGCAGCCTGATCCAGAGCACAGCCCACGCCATCGTGGCTGCCATCACTCAGAGAGGAAATAGCTCACTGCTGCTGGCTGTCACGGAGGTCAAGGTGGAAACCGTTGTTATGGGTGGCTCTTCCACAGGTAAGCTGGGGTGGTGGGGGCTCCCAGACTCAAGACCAGTGGGAATCAGCAATGGGATGTTGCTCAGCGGGGTGAGGTGTCTGCTGCCACCTAGCTCCATTCTAGAAACTAGAGAGTCCCTGCTTGTCCCGTATGGACACGGGACATTTACCTCTTCTTCTTCTACCCAGGTCTGTTGGTGCCTGTCCTGTGCAGCGTGTTCAGCGTCCTGTGGCTTGCCTGTGTGGTTATCTGCGTATGGTGGACACGAAAGCGCAGGAAAGAACGTGAGAGGAGCCGGCTACCACGGGATGAGAGCACCAACAACCAGTGGGCCCCGCTCAATCCCATCCGCAACCCCATTGAGCGGCCCGGCAGCAGCAGTCTGGGAACTGGGGGCCACAAGGATGTACTCTATCAGTGCAAGAACTTCACGCCGCCACCCCGCAGGGCAGGCGAGGCACTGCCCGGGCCAGCTGGCCACGGGGGTGGTGGGGAGGACGAGGAGGATGAGGAGCTGAGCCGTGGAGATGGGGACTCCCCAGAGGCAGAGAAGTTCCTCTCACACAAATTCACCAAAGACCCCAGCTGCTCCCTGGGAAGGCCAGCCTGCTGGGCTCCAGGGCCCAAAGTGGACAACCGTGCCGTCAGAAGCACCAAGGATGTACGCTGTGCTGGCAGGGAGTAGCCCAGGCTAGCACCCAGAACCCTTGCCTGCTGGCACCACGCTGCCTGCCGGACCACAGGAGGCCAAGGCCGTGTGCATAGTTTCTTTATTTTGTGTAAAAAACAAAACCAAAAAAACCAAAAAACAAATGTTTATTTTTTACGTTTCTTTAACCTTGTATAAATTATTCAATGGCTGTCAGGCGGGAAAACAACGGAGTATTCTCGGATCATTGCTATTTTTGTAACGTTTCCGTGTCCGCACGCACTGTGGCAGGAGAGCAGGGCGTGTTTTGTGTTCTCACCAAATCGTATAATGTTTGTTACCACAGGCTGTCGCTGTTTACAGAATCTTCTTTTTTATTCCTCATTTGGGTTTCTCTCTAGCTCAAGGCCCAAAAAGCCCATGAGACCCGTGGGCTAGGCCGTGGCTCTCAGTGAGATCTGTGGCTTTCAGTGTGGCCCGTGGCTCTCAGTGGGACCTGTGGCTGACAGTATGGCCTGAGGCTGTCAGTGGGACTGTGGCTGTTGTCTTAGCTGTAGCTCTCAGTGGGACCCGTGGTAATTGGCCTGGCCTATGGCTGTCAGTGGGACCTGTGGCTGTTGGGAACATCTGTGGCCATTGGCTTGTGGCTTGGCTGTCAGTGGCACTGGCTGCTGGGCTGGCATGCTGTCAGTGGGACCCATGGTGGCCTGTGTGATGCTGGTTACCATAGCTGTTGGTGGTGCCTGTGGTTGTCAGTGGGGTCGGAGGTCACTGGTGTGGCCTAAGGCTGGCAAGCAAACCTGGCCCATGCCTCAGCTAGCCCCTCCAGCCTGCTGTCCTTGCTTCCTCCTGCCCAGAACTCTCCAGAGATCTCCAACTGTGCTTTCAGAAGTGCCCTTCCCAACTGCTCGGTTTCCCTCCCGGGACGGCGGTATTGAAGCTTGTGACAAGTGCCTTCACACAGACCCCCTCCCAGCTGTCAGCGTTTGCCGTGGGCACCAGGCCGCTGCCCACCTGCCGGCCCCGGCCACCCTCCTCGTGAAAGTGCATTTCTGTAAATATGTACATATTAAATGAATCAGTCTGTATATTTGATTTAATAACTTAAACGTTTTGGCCTCCCTGTTCTTTGGATGCTGTTCCTTTTCTCTACGTGCAGTTGGGACGGAGACAGAGGTGGGACATGGCCTGGGTGTGGGGCCGTGCTGATGTGGAGTCTGAGAGGTCAGATGGGTCTGTTGACCTCGGGGCAGTGGGTGACTGCCTGGAGGCGTAGTAGTAGGTGACACCCGTTTAGTGGAGCCTTCCTGGGGAATAGGAATTGTGGGTCCCTGGCCTCCTACCTCTAAACATAGGTAAGAAAGGGGGCTTTATGACGTAGACACTGCCCAGCAGTGACTCACTCACAGACTCTGAGACCCAAGTTTGAGAGAACGAAGCCCAAGGATGCCACAGACTTCTGGCCAGCGCCCTCTTGTCTTTATATCTAATGTGGGAACTAAGGAATAAGCAATGGTGACCTCGGGGCTCAATGTTGGGAGCCAATCCTGCCAGCTTGTGCACAGGCTGTTTGTTCCCTCGGGCAGAGACTGGCAGAAGGTAAAGAGTAAAGCCAGCGTCCACAGCTCCGAGGAGCAGAAAGGTTGCTTGGCACTTGAGAGGAGGGGGTCTCACCATACTTCTTGCTGGGTAAAAAGCTCGTCTGGCTCCTGTCATGGTTGTTTCTGGAGATGCCTTGTGCCCTGTTCTCTGTACTACAGTGTATGTGACGAGTCTCCACAGTACCTGCTATCTTTCCACCAGCCTCTTCAGAGAAGAGCTGGAACAGCAGTAACACACGCAGGCAGTGGGCAGTCCAGACACAAGGCTGCCAAGGAAGCATGGTCTTCATCCTGACTCCGTAAGATGTCAAAGTTACGTTCCCACCATTATACTGGCTAAACAAAACAAAACAAAAACCCTAGGCTTCAAGTTTCTTCTTAAATGATAATACTTGAGGCCCTCAAGGGCATGATAGAAATGAATATCAACCTCTCTGTCCTAGACTACTACCCACTGGTCTCATAAGTGACTTTATAAGGTCATTGAGCAGACTCCAGCCAAAACTCTCAGACTGACAGGAAGCCTGGCCTGTGATCAGCAGCCTGAAGGACAGACTGCGGAGACACCTGTGTGCCCATTAGGATTCTCAGTCATCAACCATAGAGCAAGGCTGCTCGCCATGCTCAAAGCAGGTGCCTCAGAAGTACTGACGGGCTGGAACTGAGCAGAACCCACAAAAAGGAAGACATAAAGGGCCCCAAATGAAGACTTCACGTAAGTTCAACAGATACAGTGGAACTGGAAGATGATCCTCAGAAGATGGACAGGGCTTGAAGAGAGAGAGCCCAGTTGGTACCACACTTGCTGCAGAAGCACAGGAAGAGATGAGTTCAGTCCTGGCAGTTACCAACCAAGAGACCCTGCCTCAAACTAAAGATGGCTGGCTTCTGAGAATCGATCTGTGAGGTAGCCCTTTGGCTTCCATGTGTTCATAGTGCTTGTGCACCTACACACACCCATACATCTCTCTCCACGTGAATACACAGTCCAGATGCAGCTGGGGGTCAAAGGATGGAAATGCTATCAGCAGCCAAGAGTTCTGGGTAGAGGGCCTGTCGTGGTAGTCCTGGTACCACGAGAATACAGTCAGTCTTGGGATGAGCAGAGGTGTGTGTGTGTGTGTGTGTCTGGTGTGCTCATGGCTGTCTGGATGGTGCCAGGGAAGGCCCCATAGAGCGGGTGGGACTCACAGCATGAAGTCTACCATATGCTTGCCCAAGTAAGGAGCTGCCAGAGGCAGAAGTGGGAGAGGTTCACATGTGGTGTACACATCAAGAGCATGAATAGAGCATCTCTGGAGGCCCACATGCACACATGTTGCAGGCCTGCACCTCCCGCCACATCTATTGTCCGGTTTCTCAAGTCCATTTCAGGTTCCAGGCTTTTCTGACAAACTATACCCTGCTCAAAGCTGGCTTGGTCAGTAGCTGAGAATTGGTCTCCACTCAGGTAACCTGCTACCCAGCAGGGACGGGGACAGACTGGCTCCAGCCAGCCCATGCTGATAGCTACACTAACAGGCCCAGATTCTCTAGTCCACTCCACAGTCCCCTCTGACTGGAGTCCCCACTCTCAGTGTGGCCACTGACTGTAGGGGAATGCAGGCCATTCAACTGACCCCAGCCTTCCCATGGGGAAGGGTTTGATCCAGGGCCATCCTGTTCCTACACGAGTCCATTCCCTCTGCAGAGCTGGACAACCAGCTCCACAGAGGCTCATCCCTCAGGAAGGCCAACCAGAGGAAAGCTCACTTATGTGGTCAGCTAGCTGCATACACTGTCACCCGGAGGTTGTTACCGGCCTTGGGTTTTCCCTGGCTGAGTAAAGAGAAATCCATGTCTGTTCCTGGAGCTGCCACAGCCTCCCAAGGTGACCGTCTGACTGGAGACACTGCTCCTATTCCCCCATCTACAAATCCTGCTGCCCGGATGAAGAAGAACAAGCTTTGAGAATGAACTGTGGTACAGCAGTAGACATACCTCCTCCCTACCCTAGAGCCATCTTGTTTCCAGGAACCTACTGTGATCTGCACCACTGGGAAACTACAGGTTCCTCCTCCCGCCTATCCTCTTGTTAGTACTGGGAACCTGAGAAAGACAGCTTCTATTCATGGGCAAGACGGAGGAAGCTGTGGTCTGCAGTCCCCACCTCAGGCCAAACCTCTGGAACTGACTCAGAGTCTGTACCTTGCCTTTTAGATCTGCTTCCAATTGGGGTCTGGAGGGCATGTATCCTAAACACGGTCTGACCCTCTCTTTCACCCTTAGAAATTGAATGTTGTGTAGATGATTGTGCTCAGAACAGACCCCAGGAAAGGACACATGAGCCAGGTAGAGCGGAGAGAGCGGTGTGGGGGCAGGCCACTGAGTAGGATTACTTTCCCTGCACCCATGGGGACTTCCTGTATCCCAGCAGGCATGGGCTGTGTGCCTCCAGGGTTAAAGGTCTGGATTCTAAGGGGTGCCTGACTAGGGCGTAGACAGTGGGTACTCACTCCTCCAGCAAAACATATAGCCTCATGTTTTCCCACGATTGGTTTCTAGGTAGGGTGACTGTGCTCAGTGGCTGGCACTGCAGTCTAGATAGCAGGGTAGAGCCTCTAGCCCAGCACCTGAAACATAACCCTCCTCAGAGCTGAGGTCAGATTGCCCTCTTACTCTCCCACGTATCTGGAGTCTGCACTGTCTGGATCCTGGGGGTGGGTATCCCAGCTGCCACTCTGACCCAGAAAACCAAGTCCTGGTTGACGGCCTGATGTGGATATGGGACAGGTCTGAGGTCATGAGTCTATGCTTCTCTTACCTGCTCTCACATTGCCGTGAGCAGTAGGCAGGCCCCATCCTGGCTGCTTCTTTGGCACTTGGCCCAAGGGACCGCACCAGCTGATTCTGCTTGGCGACAGCTCTGACTGCTGTATCTCCGAAGAAACCAGGCTCAGGGAGCAGTGAGGAGAGTCTACATGGGAACCGGGTCCCAGGGTAGCTGAGCCCATTAACCCCTGCAGGCTAAGCTGTAGGCAGCTGGCTTGGCCCTACAGTGGCTTCAGGATGGACTTCACCTCTCCCAAATGCAGCTGGGCTCACCTTTCTCCATCAGACCCTGGCCTTGGTGATCTAAGGAGTCCAGGTCAGTGGGGCCTGGAGATCTCAGGTTTGACAGCGTCTGGGGTTTGGGTTATACTAGTGCACAAAGGGGGAAGTGAGGTCCTGTGAGGAAGGGCTCTGCCTTACAATGTTCTTTCTGGCTTCCACCCCCAGAGGTCTCAGAAGCTTGTGGCAGAGGTGGATAGGGTACAGCTTGGGAAAGAGATGTCCCATGAGGTGTGTTCTCAGAGGAAGGCAGCAGGCAGGGAGTGAGCAGTACTAAGCAGGGGGTGTTCCAAGGGGCTCCAGTGCTATTTCTGTAGGAGCGGGGCACTAGAGGAGAGGAGATTCCTGGGGCTGGGATGGGCGCAGGAACTTGTCTGTTCAGGTGCAGGGTTTTGGTCTTTAACTGGTGTTAACCCAGAAGAGAAGTGTCTGCCTAGTTCTATTTCACAGAAGAGAGAACTCTGGATGGACAGGCTAATATAAAACAAATCCAGAGGCTGGGCATGGTTTTCATACCTTTAATCCCGGCTCTTGAGAAGAAGAGGCAGGTGAATCTCTGTGAGTTCAAGGCCAGCCTGGTCTACATATTGAGTTGCAGGCCAGCCAGGGCTATACTGTGAGGCCCTATCTCAAAAGCAAGCAAACAAACAAATGAAAAATTAAATAAAATAATAAAGGTCTGGAGGATATCAAGAGAACCTTGGAGTAGCAATATCCATCCAAAGTCACTATTTCTCAATGTCACAGATAACCCATATCACTCTCTGGTTTTTGAGTGGCTTGGGGTCCCCAGATCTAGGAAGGATACAGAGCCCAGATAAAGAAAAAAAAAAGGACCGAGCAAGGACCTGGGCTAAAGGGCTCTCAGAAAGAGCTGTCCTTAGGTGGGTGGATTCATGGAGAGTCCCATGAAGGCAACACACTCACGCATGGGCCACTAGGAACAGTCTCAAGCCTCTGCGTAATCTCAGCACACACATCTCTCACTCACCATGACCCTCAGGCTCTTGGGAGCTCAGCAACCCTCCCTGCCTCTTCCTGGTTCCTCATCACCTTCAGGGGGATGGTGCATTTCTCACCTCTGCAGTCTCCAGGCTCTTCAACTTTAGATGGTTAGATTGAGATGACAAAGGTCTTTAGGTGCTTGGCCAGAGAGTGACTGGGTCAGGAGGCGCGGTGACTACTCCAGGTGACAGATCTGCAGAGGAAAGGACCGTCCAACCTAATTATCAAAGAAATACACAGTGGAAGGAAAAGCCAATGAGCAGCCTCGGCAGCTGATATCCCACCAAGCAGGAAGGAGGAGCCCAATGGCTCGGTGGAGACTTACCTCACCTCCCTACAGATGATCCCAGCTGGGGATCAGGGACCCACATCTATGCAGGATGGAGAAGGGTTTGGTAGAGTGATATGCGCAC